TTTATATATATATAATTTTTAATATATAATCTCTCTATTGAGATCCACTTTAAAGCAAACCTGCAACTGCAATAAAGTTATCAATATGACATATGTAGTCCATTTCTTGTAAAACTTCTCTGGACCTGTAAAGCTTGGATGTGTAAACAACCTTCTCCTATGGCCACCGGCTCTGCCCACCCTTCTTACACCTATTAGACCTTCGCTGTAATGGGAGACCATTCTAACTAATAGTAAGGATCAGGAGACAAGAGAAAGCTAGCATGAGCTGCAGACCAGGAAATGGGCTCCATTTTAGAGGACATCGGTACTTGGCGGTCCAGTCCAGGATCCTCTAGAAGAATTTGAAAAGGATATGTGGGAGCATTCAGGTGGCTGTTTATGCACTGAGTAAAATGTAGTCACCAATTTGCTTTAGGCCCCCTTCAAACTTTCTGAAGCTGTTGCATTATGTAGCATATCAAGGGAACCCATTCATATTGAAATGGCCTTAAAAACAGACTTGACCCTTTTTTTTCCTCTTTAACACAGTGCACCACAATGCATTTGTTGCAGCCTACTGTGATGTTGCGTTGGCGTTCTAGTAATGTGTGTTAAAATACAAGTTTTGGCACACATTGCAGCTACAGAATGATGTGATGGATGCCTTAAAGTAGCAACCTACAGCTTTCAGATTGTGGAACAGGAGTCAGTACCCAAACACATTATTACTTGTAGTTTGAAGGGGTATACTTTTTATTCAGTTTTTTACAGAAATGTATCATTACTACCCATCCTCTCTCTCTCTCTCTACTGTATATATGTAGCCAAATGGGAAGGGAATCTTTTTGCTTATTCTAACTGGAAAATTCTGATACAAAAACTGCTCCGTCCATGTTTGTATTACATAAAATAAGGTAACTGTAAACAGCCTTCTACAGTTTCACCACACTCTCACTGTTTTTATACTTTCAACAAAGGGGAACGAAATATTAAAGTACGAATTGCAGTGGAAACCCAATCTACATTGACTGCTGCAATGCCCTCAGGAAGAAACTCAATAATAATCTATGAGAGAAGAGAGTCCAAGGAGAACATTTTGCTCTCAAACTGAGAACTTAAAACATAGTTTATAAGCAACAGCATAATTTATTGTGTCCTGTTTATGTGCCACAATAGACAACAATAATAGATGTATTCTCCGTGGTAAAGATATAATGAATATTATTTGCAATGACATTAATAAGTGTTTATGACTAACTATTTCCCAGCCTTGGTTGTAAAGCATTTGCAAAGGAAGGGTATAGCCAAGTGCAAAAATTAATGATTCCTCTAGTTTTTGCTGATGGCCACCATTTATCTATCGTGTTTTATTTGTACAATTGAACACATACTTTGGTAGCTGAGGCTGCAAAAAAAATCACATTACTATTCTAAAGCAAATATAGTAGAAACAAAGAATATAACAAAATATAGTCAACGTATCCGAAGGAAAAAAAAAACCTAGACATTGAATGTACAACTTGCCTACTGAGCCACTCAAAGATAATGGCTACTTATACGACTTTACATAATTGTATATTATTTGAGAACTATCATACTATTTGGTTTTCTTTTATATATTTAATGGTAAAAGAGAACACCTATCGGCATTGACACAATCTCAAAGGATTTAGGAGAATTTCTGTAATCTAACACCATGAAATTTCCAGTTATTGAATACTACAAATTATTGTCTACAGATCAGGTAAACAAACTGTAGCTGGTCATTTGCCTTGCTTTCCAGTTTAAATGACCAATATGGGGTTAATACATGGGGTTAATGATAGCATTCTGTATATAAATTAATTTTTTTAATGTTTTTATTACATATGCTTTTTATGTTTTTTTCTACATTTACATGCAGCCCAAAAAAGCACCCGTAGTAAAGCAACTTTGGCACTGTCACTCTGAGCAAGTTCATTTTTATAAATCACATACACCGAACAGCTATAACATTATGACCTGCCAAAACCAACCCTGACCCGTTGAGGCATAGACTCCGCTAGACCTTTGAAGGTATGCTGGCATCTGGCACCAAGCTGTCAGTTGCAGGTCCTATAAGTCCTATAAGTTGTGAGGTGGGGCCTCAATGAATCGGACTTGTTTTTCCAGCACCCTGACACATTTTTGCAATGTGGCAGGGTGCATTATCCTGCTAAAAGAGGCCACTGCCATCAGGAAATGTTTCCATGAAGGGTTGTACTTGGTCACAAACAATGTTTAGATAGGTGTAACTTGTCAAAATAACATCCACATAATGGTGGGACTTAATGTTTCTCACCAGAACATTGCCCAAAGCATCACACTGCCTTAGCTGGCTTGCCTTCTTCCAATAGTGCATCCTGGTGCCATCTCTTCCCCAGGTAAGCGACACATACACCTGTCCATCCACATGATGTAAAAGAAAACCTGATTCATCAGACCAGGCCACCTTTCCATTGCTCTGATGTTCAATTCTCATGATCATGCGCCTATTGTAGGTGCTTTTGGCGGTGAACACGGATCAGCATGGCCACCCTGACCAGTTTGTGGCTATGCAGCCTCATACTTAAACTGCAATGCACTGTGTGTTCAGACACTTTTCTATCATAACCAGCATTAACTTTTTCAGCAATTTGAGCTACAGTAGCTCTTTTATTGAATCGGACTACACAGCCCAGCCTTCGATCCCCACGTACACCAATGAGCTTTGGACGCCCATGACACTGTTGCTGGTTCACTAGTTTTACTTCCTTGGACCACTTTTGGTAAGTCCTGTAGACCAGGAACATCCCATAAGAGCTGCAGTTTTGGAGTTGCTCTGACCCAATCAGCTAGCCATCCCAATTGGGCCCTTGTCAAAGTCACTCAAATCCTTAGACTTGCCCATTTTTTGTTGCCAACAGGTGCCATTGTAATGAGAAAATCAATGTCATTAACTTCACCTCTCAGTGGTCATAAAGTTACTGCTGATCGGTGTATATTAAAGCACATCTATAACCAAAAACAAAAAGGTAATATATTGCAGAATACCAGTCCTTAGATGAAGTGGCTGCATTCATTTTTTTTTCTGGTCTTTACCCTTTAATTTTTGCCAGGTAAATCCTGTGAACAACACACTTCCTGTCCCCTGGTAAATACGCTCACTCCTCCACTATATCCATGTAGAGAGACATGGTTGTCACCCAGGGCTGAACTTCAAAACATGTCTCTTTTTTAACTCAATTATATGGTGAATTGATAGGACTAGTAGTTTACATATAGGATTGTTTTCCTTTCTTTCCAGCATACAGGAGGCGACAAGGCCACTGCATTTTTGATAAGATCAACAGGTATTTTCTCTAGTGCTAAAAATGTTCTTCACCTGAAAAATAACTAATGCAGATACCACATCTAATGAATGTTAAAGGAAAACTATGGGGTTAAGTATTTTCCCCATAGTTCTCCTTAGGGTAACAGGACGACACAAACTACCGTCCTCCAGTCACCCTAGGCTCAGTATACCGCGAGCTGTAGCTCGCGACATACTGAGACGCCGCAGTATACCGCGAGCAGCTGCTCGCGGTATACTGAGACGCCGCAGCTGAAGCAGATCCCGACAATTGTGCCGGGATCCGCCCAGCTGCGTGACTGACAGCTGGCTCTGCCTATCTAAAGGCAGAGCCAGCTGTACCCGCCCCCTCCCCCGTCCGTTCCTCCAGTCAGCGCTGGCGGATCGGACATATATTTTCCAGGCAAGTTCAACAACAAGTACTATTTGCTGGATACCTGATTAACTAAATTTCTATACATTCATGTTCTCGAATAAAGGAAAATAAGTGTAGCTGCCTAATTTGTTTGACCAAATGAAATGCAAAATTACGAGAAATGTAATCATAATGTTGTCATTTTATTTATTTTTATTTTTTTAAAGTTAAAGGCAATAAGCCATTTGAAAGCCTAGTAAAATAAATGCCATTTACACATCTTGTGATTCAAAGCCTCCACTGGGAATTTATAGAATATGACATGAACCTTCCTGCCACAGAATGCACATCTTCAGCCAGCTTATTTTGGCTTTGCTGTGCTGCTTGCATGCAGAATAAGGTTATTTTGGCCGCTGTGTTAACATTGTTTTAGAAAGGATGTTGAGAAGGCCAAACAAACTGAGCAAACAAAATATAGGTGGTTGTTCACAACAAAAAAACATAACAATATAATAACATGGTGGGTGATGACTGGCTACAAATGTCACATTACCCAGAAATCTATTATCTTATTGATGTGCATCATTTACAATGCACGTCAAGCAAATTATAATAATTTATATGGAATTAAATTTATCTTAACAAAAGTTAACCGCGAATATATGAACAGAATTTCAATTGCTCTGCTCTAGGGGACAGAACAGGGGGCATATGCACCAGGTCTGCTAGTAGGGGGACTGTGTAGTCCTTATTTCCTTTTGAGAAACATAAAAAAGATCAGATTGAAAAAAACAATATACCAATCAGTATTAATTTTTTGAAAACTTTGTTTCTATAGTTACTCATTACATATGATGGCTATGCTTCTCATTGATGTATAAGTTGGACAACTCATGCACTTCTTTTGTGGCTATCTTCTCTCATGAAATTGTAAGTAGGGCGGTAACGTGATAGCAATGACTAACGCACCCTGCCTCTACTGTCTAATCTACAAATCTCTACATTTACTACAATAGAAAACAGATGGAAAAGTAAATGTGAAAGTCACATAAAAAATTACTTTAATGTTAAATCTCCAATAGCATCTCAAAACATGTGCTAAAAGAAAAATTCAATACTTTTCTTTTTATGAAAAACAAAGAGCATAACACATACAATGGACCCATAGTGTAGTTTTTGAAAGGCAGACTATTAAAACTGCACCCCTGATTTATTTCTTCAACTAAAGGATCCAACCGACACACATACTACCCACAGTGAGTTTGAAGATTCATGCGCACACACTGACACACTCTTACACTTTACTTGGTCAACCATTTTGTACCTGTTGTACCTTCAAAGTTGCCTTTGAGTGCTAAAAACCTTTATGTGGAACATGAAATAAAAACACAGGGCAAGTAACTCAGTTTTATTGCAACCTTTGGAGCTAGCTACAGGATTTCCTGCTTCGGGGGTAGCTGCTCATGTCATCCACTGCAGATGCTGATGACCATGGCATATCAGCAAGTTGTGTAGACTGCAACTGCGGCTTTTCTATAGCCAGCGACAAATTGTAAAAGAAAATATTACCGAACAATAAATATGGGGGTGTTTAAACCCATCTTGGGGAGTACCATCATCCCTAAAAGGTGAACTAGATGCAAATACAGATTGAGAAACCTCTATTTGACTGAGGCACTACAGGACTTAGGTGCTGGAAGAACCCATCCATCTAGGACTGGAAGAGGGAGCCACAGGAGACACAAGGGATACCACACCTAATCCTAATGTGATCCCACTTCCATAGCAAGGACAGACAATCAAATATTCAAATATATCTTCCTTCCATATGAGGAGTTTCACACAAAAAAACTGTAAATATACAGGTGAAACTCGAAAAATTAGAATATCGTGCAAAAGTTCATTTATTTCACAAATGCCACCTAAAAGGTGAAACTAATATATGAGATAGACTCATTACATGCAAAGTAAGATAGTTCAAGCCGTAATTTGTCATAATTGTGATGATTATGGCTTAAAGCTCATGAAAACCCAGTTCCCCAATCTCAAAAAATTTTGGCAGTGTGGGCAGGTGCCAAGTCCTGCTGGAAAATGAAGTCAGCATCCCCATAGAGCTCGTCTGCGGAAGAAAGCATGAAGTGCTCCAAAATCTCCTGGTAGACGGCTAAGTTGCATTAGTGAAATAAATGAACTTTTGCACGATATTCTAATTTTTTGAGTTTCACCTGTATAAGGATATATCTCTGGCAGTATATAGCATGGAATTTCCTACTGTAAAGCTGACTGCACACAGGATAACCTCTTTAGTGTAGCTAGTCATAGATACACATGTGCAAACTCAAATGGTCAGTGTATAATCCTACTAGATATAGTCAGTGAGTAATCCTCCCAATAACCACAATATATATCCATATACTGTAGATCCCTCTGTTAACAAACTAAGCCAATTTAATGATCATGCTCTCCCTCTGCCCAGGTAGATGTTCCATAAGAGCTACTGTGCTTCATGGGTATTTATAACCAGCTAAGCTAAGATTTGGATGTGGTGCCCCTGTTGTCCCCTGTGGCTCCCTCTTCTGGTCCAGGATAATTGGTTCCTTTAATTTGGTTGGTTTCTTTTTCACATTATGAGAAAACTTTTACTATCCTCGAATTTCTCCCAAAGGGGACCACACTGTTCCCGAAATGGGAATCCAGTACAGCCCCATCAATTGAGAAATATCAAGATCTTTTGAACTTATGGAATTAAACTGATGTATATACTATGTTTAAATGATAGAGATCTAGGAGAAGGTGCTTTGTGACTATGAAATTGTAATAGGTATCAATCTTTTGTCTAGTTATATAATCGTATAAGTTTATAGATTTTAAATATTGCTTTGATAGTTATTATAGTACCATAGAGGTCACACTATCTTTATCTCTATCTAGTACAGGAGAAAATAATCAGAACTCGCTGGTATTCTATGCTGCAAAGATTCTGGTGTGACATAGACCTCATAATGCTAACTTCCCATGCACATGCATGTGTTTCCATGTGTAGAACTAGGGTTCATTAAATCAAACATACCTGCTTTGAGCAGAGTTAGCGGCTGCTTGCATCACGGCAGCTGCTGCCTCCTGTGCTTTGCGGTTTACAGAAGGTATGGGTGGTCCCATCCCTGGAGCACCCTGCTGTGTCATGCCAGGGGAACTGGGGGTCATATTCACCATGTTTCCAGGATATGGCCTGCTTTGCACCGTGCTGCCAGGCATTCTGCCCATGTTCATAGAGCCACTGGGCCCCTGCCCATGCATCTGGTTGTTGGTGTTTATATTCATTCCAGGGCCTGGTCCACTGTAATTTGTATTCGGTACTCCAGAATATGATGGTGGCCTTGAGTAATTACCTGTAATAGAAACAAACCAGTGTTAAAATAATTGAACATGCAGGTACTTCCATGTCGACAAATACATTAGCTCTGCACAACGCACTCAGTTCTGCATATTTTACACCACTACAGGCACAAATGCATATCCCAGGTCTGGTTTGAATAAAGTCCAATTGAACTTTCAGTTTAAATAAGCTAAATGCAATACAGATGCATCGAAAGAGGTTTTTAATGTCTTCTATGATGTTTTTTTTCTGAAGCAGTCAGAGCCTGAGTAGAAAAGCCTGGACCCTGCCAGCATGCTGCAGCGTGGGACCCTTGCTCTCTGTGGGAAAGCAGCAATCTCTCTGCAGAGGTCCAATACACCCCCTACTGAGTTTGACCCATAACTTTGCAATCAGCAAAGCTGATGCTTCTTGCTGATTGGAGAGCTGTGGCTCTGACTTAGCTGGGGGCGTGACGGACCTCTGCAATTAAATCACTGCTTCTCAACAAAAGAGCAAGGGTCCTTCTCTACAGCACACGGGCAGGAGGCAGGCTTTTCTACTCAGGCTGTGATTCATATTTAAAGAAAACAAACTTTAATACTTTGCTTAGATGCACCTGGAATGTGTTTAGCAAAATTAAACTAAGGTCCTGTTCACACATACTGTGGTGACCGTTGTTTCACTGCACCAAATCAATGCAGGTCACTGCAAGAACATGTAGCAAACAATTATTTTCCATGTGTCTCATTCACACCACAATGCGGATGTGATGGACTGTGCAAGTGAAACAATGCAGACATGCTTTATTTTTTTCTGCAATGAACTGGATGCCACTGCAGGTCACTGCACGGCAGCACAGCACGCTACTGTGTGGGGACTTGAATGCAGCGTACAGATTGTACACTACCAATAAAGTTAAAAAAGGAAATAATGTAAACAGTGACAGCTTCAGCATTGTGCGATACAACGCTGCCGCAGCGCACTAGCCAGACCGCGTGTGAATGAACACTAAATGTTTATTTGGGCTTTAAGTCATAACAACATTTTATGTTAATAAATGCGCAGTTCAGTATAAACTCTTTAACATGAAACTGAATAGTATAGTATCAATGTAAATACATAATGTATGTGAACAGAAACCTTTGTCGGTGGTACAATGAGTATTGTATTGTTTTTGTTTTCCCCTAGTTAATATTCTGCACACAGCTATTGATTCCACATTGCGGCTGCTAATGACAGATTTGACGTTTTCTGTCCAAGCAATCTAATGACATAGGCAACATTTTAAAACTGATAAACATAGTCATCCATCACATTAAGGTGATCGCTCATGCTTTGTTTGGACATTCTAGAAAGCTTTCAAAGATATGTAGTTATGCAAATCATGCATCCTGGGTAAAAACAATTGACTGTAAAGTAAATCCCTGCAATACAGACACATTTTTCTCATATTTTATCCCTTTAAATAAAGCTGCAAATACAGTAAACTCTGGTAATTGTAATAAAAATCCAGTGTGCTCCTAAGCTCCAATATGGTAGACAACATAGCACTTTGATGCACTGATAATACTGCTTAAGATTGTGATTAAGCAGAGGAGCAATTGTGAGCTTGAACAGGAAGTAAGTAGCTCACTGGATTTTTGGCAGGATCAACAGGTATTTTTTTCTGTACTTGCAGCTTCTTAAAGAGCTAAAACATGGGAAAAGGTACATGTATTGCAGATATGTACTGAATACATACATACATAGATATTCATATACATACATATTCATCCCCACACAGCTACCCCCTCATGTATCAATGGCCCCTCCCTTTTAGATTGTAAGCCCTCAGGGGCAGGGCCCTCCTTAACATCTTGTCTTGAATTGTATTGTAATTGTAATGTCTTCCTTATATTGTAAAGCGCTGTGCAAACCGTTGTCGCTAAATAAATCCTGTATAATAACAATAATAATACATATACTTTAAAGTAAACTTGTGCCTTGAATGACCACAAGAGATTACTTGCTGAATGAGTGCAGGCACTTTAAAAAACCTGGAGCTGTATTAGAGGAAATCATTCACCAAGTCTCTTCATAGTGATTGTATAGTCTGTCCTTTTCTGCTTTACTCAACTCTCTACTGGCTCCATCACTCTCTGTAGCCAATAAGATTAGGAGGGTCCACACTACTTATCAACCTGGACCGCTTTAATTTTTCCATAATACAGTCTTTTTCTTTCAAGTAAGCTAGGCTCTTTCCAGCACAATGGACTGTGCAGGCATCATACCTGAAAATATTTCTATGTCCAGATAGCTTAATAAATTGTATGACTCCTTAAAGGGCTATCAGCTGCGACATTGTCCTAGTACTGTACTTTTTGTACACCGAAGCTGGCTTCACAGGTGCACAGACTATCCGACATCACAGTAGAAGTCTGAGAATTTGTCTTTTTTTTCTACCTTTCACCCAAGGTTCCTTAAAGATGTATATAGCTGCTCTAGATACTAAAGAAGGCATGTCAAAATAATTTAATTCACTATACAGCACCCCATGAAAAAAGAAGAAACTGCACGATTTGGAAATATTTGTATGAATCTTTCACAAATTAATATAAAATAAACTTTTACAAAAGCATGTTTTAGGGCAGCCCCAGAAACCCCAGCGGCTGATAGTAGGTATTTTCTTTTAATTTAATACTGTTAAAGCAGCGTCTCTAGCCGGCAGCATGAACCCTCCGCTAGTATTTCGAGACATCAATCATTCAATCCCGGAGCTCAAACACTTTAGTGAAGAGGTTAAAATTTGGGAAGAATAAAATGCACAAAGCTTTTTGAGGGGAAAAAAAAAAAGCTGGAGGGCACAAGTTAACCTACATACATTTTTGTTCAAAACTTACTACTGAACTTAACAAGGCCTCTAAGGCAGCATGCCAGATTTCAAATCAAAGCTGTCACTGATCTTTTTATTTATTTTATTATTTTAAGAAGAGAATGCACCTTGATCTTTTCATGAGCAGCATTGCTTATTATAGGCTTGTGTCAAAAGAGCTGGCAAGAATTACTATGCATTCTGTCCAAATAATCATAGTCATTGCGCCCAGGGTTTCCAGGGGAGGCGGTATGCCAGATTAACTCTAACTGTTAGAAGAATTTATACCATAGCCATATACCAAGTCCAAAGCTATATAGGAGCAAAAAAAAAAATAATAATAATATCCAGGGCATTAAGATACTGTAATCCAGTATATTCAAAGGACAGACCAATCTATGTAACATGACAAAGATAGACATAACAGGACATACAAGGTATCCTAAAAGATAGGGTACCTAGTAAGCGGACCTATCCAGAAAGAATTTGCAAAGTAATAGACTGCCAACACCTTGCTTAGTTTATTTATGCCTACTGTTGCGGACATGCCTTGCTAATAAGTGTATCTGATTACCTACATATTTAAAGCAAAGCAATGGGAACAAAATAAGCGGGTAACCTTTCTATCAGACTAATGTCTGTACATAACCCTCCATTACTGCCAAAAGATTTCATAAAAACTTTACATTTGCTCAGTGCTTAGGCACGTGGGACAATAACTCAGCATGCCAATAGGTCAGTCAGGCACCAGGCATAGCACTGTAAAAGGCAGGGGGTGTACATATTCTCCACTAATAAGATGTTATTGACTACCTCTCATTATAGAGAATGATAGCATAAAATTTGCATGGATTGACATAATACATATCATATTTCACAAACAAGATCAATTTCATGAGGCAATAAGGTTAAAGCTGGATGCAGGAGATTATAGGCATTCCTAGGCATGCCCTGGGTCTGCAGACACTGCCAGGTTGTGTGATCTGCTGCTCAACAGTACCTGCATATTTGGGGTGCCAATTAAATTTAGCAGAGCCAGCACCAAGGAATGTGAAGCAAGTAACCACCAGCATGAATGATCTAATTAGCGCCCACTAACATAAATGTCAAGGGACACTTCACCACTGACCACCATCAAGGGGTACATCACCAATGACTACCAATATAGGAGCACTTAATTCACCACTAATATAAGGGAACACTATAATGACCACTGGGCACAGTGCAGATCCCATATCCTGACCACTGTTTATCTAACGTGGTACATAACATAGTCTTAACCAAAGTGTTCATTGTCTCAACGGTTGCTGGTTGCTTAGTAGTTCTCTATCGTTTTAACATTAACAAAGTTCACCTTTAAGGTAGGCTCAGACAAAGTGTAAGCTCTGTTTCTATATTCTATGTGCAAATAAGCAAAATTGAAAATATACATTTAAAAATATGTTTTTTCCTTTGTTATGAGGGTTAGGTTTGCCTGCGAGACTCTCGCTTGTGGCACAGTAATTAAGGCCTATTTTGTGCATACAAGGTTTGCGGTATATGTGTACAGTGCATACAGCGAGTAGGTTTAGGTTCTAAGCCTTTTACCCATGCCCAGGGCTTATTCTAATATGAACACATGCAACTTTTGCTAGGGCTTGCTGCACTGCACAAGCCACAGGTTTCTCTCTTCTGGGAGCCCAAGGGTGGCTCAGGTCTGGCACAATCCTAGCAAAGTCCCTGTCTGAATATTTTTTGAAGCAATACATCCTATTTTGCAAAGTACATATTACTGTTCTTAATACCAGTGTGATTCAAGAATTATGCAGGCAGGAGCTAATAAATAAATAAGAGTTCTAATTCTTCCACACTCGATCCAAAACTGGAAAAGGCTTGACATACACTTTATTAAATCCCTGAAACACAGTTTTAGGAATGGTCAATCAACGCAACTGCTACAAACACAGATAAATAGCAGATGGAATTTGATGATGACAAAGTTAAGAATAGCAAATTTGCCATTAAAACATTAGCTAGTATCCACCTGGGAAAAGCAACTATAGAAGCACTTGGCAATGTTGGTTAACTGTAAGCTAAATAGTAGCACTAATTGGAATACAGCTGCTGCAGATAAAAAGTTGGATTGATAAAATGGGAGATACAAACATGTAAGAAAAGATTACATCTGTAAAAAAAACACTTGAATATGCTGTATAGTTCGAACTACGTTGCAGTTGGATGATCTTAGGAGAGTATTTATATTCATGGTTACTGAAGGATATTTTGGGCTGTTTAATACAGACAAAGGTGGCCTGGATGGGGAACGGGGGTATGATTTTTTTCTTTTTTAAATGGACCAAAAGTTTAACTAGGGAACTGAAATTTCAGCCACTGAAACTTATCGGCTGAAATGGCACTTTTGTCAAAATGCCGAAAGTGCCATCTTTCAGCCGAAATAGCGGTGCATCCCTGGTTTCTCTCCTCCTCGCTGGGTGCTGCTCTGTGTCCCTTCCAGCGGGCAGGAGAGAAATTGTCACAGGAGTGCGGTGGAGGAGAACGCTGTGAGCAGCCAAAATCTCTCCTCCCACACCACTCAGTCACCTGTGACAGATTAGGAAAGCGACGGTGTGGGGGCGGAGACAGCTGTCGGAGTCAGCTGTTAGAGGAGATCGATCTCTCCTTCTCGCACCGCTCGCTCAGCCTCCTGTGACAGCGAGTCAGGATGGAGAACGGGTACAAGCTCTCAACGATCAGTGATCGCTGAGTGTTTGTCAATAATTGAGGGCATAGTCTGTTTAACTAGAAGTTAAACAAGTTATGTTTCTACAAGTTATGAATGAACAGGAACAAAGAGGATTACTGTTCATGTATAACAGGGTCTGTAAAAAAAGAGATTGAGGGCTCTGTGTCCTCAATCTCTTTTTCTATTTCAAAAGGGAAATATCAGGGATCTTTTTAGACCCCTAATATTTCCATGAAGCCCCCAACAGTAAGGTAAAAAAATAAAAATATTTAATAAAAATAAATAAAATAAAATATTTAAAATAAATTGGAAAAGGTTAGAGAGAAAAAAATTAAGTTTCGTCCTGACTATTTTTTTCAGTTTCGTTCCGGTTTTGAAAATGTTATTTCGGTGCACCTTTAGTTTTAACCCTTCCCTATTTCCAAAACTATAAAAAAAGTTTGATTAATTGAAAAAAAATGCTAATAAAATCGTATTTTCTACCTGAGGATGTGGCTAGGACATTGACTCTGGATATGTACTTAAAAACATAAGCATCAAACCCCAAGAGAGTAAACCCTTTAAATTAAGGTAAAAGAAAAAAAAGAACAGAGGGAAATCCAGAAAGAAGGAGGTCAGTCATTTCCTATACCTTGGTAATGTATTAGCAATTCCTAACATGGACTCTGCCAGATAACAGATGGCCCCAAACATTAAAGACAATGAATCCAGCAGCTGTTGGGTTGGTCCATATCAATTGGACATGTCACAATGCCAAGCCTGGGTACCCATACACTTGTGGATGCCGCTACAGGCTGGCGCTTGTTAATCTGGAAACCAGAAGCCAACTATAAAGGATAACCAGGAGATGAGGCTGCCCATTTGACCCCCTTGTAACTACTGTGATACTGCACAAGTTTATCTTGTAGTAAACCTTAATAAGCATGTGAGCAAGCATTTTCAAAGAGTTCAATCTGAAAAATTATTTCGGCAGCATTAGCACTAAACGCAGCTAATCATGGGTGGCATAGTTTTTACTGTACGTAGTGTTACAGAATCTGTAGGGTTAGGAGAGGCTGCTTATGACAGCACTTCTTATTGCATGTGACTGACTGTATAAATGTATGCAAAATCTGTGATGTACTTGACTGGTATTACAATATTTGCAAATTTAGATTGAATTTATTTATTTGTAATTGTGAAGATTCTACTTATAACATGGCTAGTCCCCTTACTTGCTCTTACTACTCCTTTAGAGTGTACCTAAACCCAAAAACAAAAATGTAATATATTGCAGCTTACCAGTCTTTAGATGTGGCGGATGCATTAGTTTACTTTTTTCCCCCGGACATTTTTCCCATTATTTGCACCTGGTGATCCTGCCAGCAACACAGTTCCCATCACTCTAGAATAGTATGTTAGGATTAAATAACACCTCCCCCTTTCCATATCGCCTTAACATGGAGGGAGGTGTTCTGCATTCCACAGATGTGAACTAGGAAGAGCTTATGTATGCATGACATCATATTGCAGAGTGAACAGGACAAAGGACAGCACTGAATTTATGAAGGGACCAACGGGTATCTAACCAATATAAGAAAACATTTTATTACTATACTTAACAGACCAAAAGGGAGCAAATAGAAGGTCATTATTATGGTTTACGTGTACTTTAAGTAGTATACATTTCAAAGAGAAGACTATCAATTTGTGGCATAGAATTATATCTGTCAGATTTGAATACTATAATATAGGTGTACAACTTAATGTATGTTCAAATATAACATGGGCTATGTCTGTAGGTTTATATCTTGCCTTGCGTTCCATATTGGTTCATCTGAGAGCCATAAGTGCTGCTGGAGTTTCCTTGTGCAAAGCTGCCCATACCAGGATGTATCTGACCTCCAGGAGATGGATGTGGAGACATAGAAGGCCCAGTTTGCTGGGGTCCATATTGTGGCAACTGGTGGTTTCTCTGTACACCGGGCATATAACCTACAATATAAACAAAAAAAAATATTAATGAAATATAGGTGATATGCTATCACTGACACTACACTATGTTTTGGAAATGTTCTTGAGACCCCATTCACACCGTTGCGATTTGTTAATGCACGTATGCCAACGTGGGTTCTGTTTAGGCAGACTCTCCATTTTAATGGGCTGCCTAATGCACCACAAAAAGGTGCATCTGCTTTTTTTGTAACGGAGCACACTACAACACACGGCAGCGCATTGCCGTGCATTGGGGTGCCATTGAGAAAGAATGGCCCCACATCCCATCAACACGCAGGTCACTGCAGCACAATGGTTTGAATGGGGCCTGAGGTAACCAACACAGCCTATGTGTACTGCACCAGCTAAAGCATGCTAACTCAGGAGCCAAATATAACACCACTTTGCGAAAAAAGGTTTCAGTACTACAGTTTCACCCCATTTAATAAAATCAGTTTATATTAAAATGCCATACAACTAAAATATCTGACTATACACACATTCAAAACTCTGCCTATAAAACCATTTGCCAACAGAACATCCCACCTAACTGTAATGTCCACCAATAATTATACTATAATTATAGCTAAGTAGTAATTACTAAGCAGTGTTTCAAATTGTTTGCTACGAGAGGGAGGGACAGATCTGGGTCTCAACTATTATATCATGCAAAAAAAAGTGCAAGTGACAATACTGCAAGCGCACCACTATATATACATAAAATATTTTTTAGATTTATTGCATATATAATCATAATGATTCTTTCTGTTTTTATTCTTCAAAGAATAAAAGGCAGGAGTAAGAAATCTACACATATTTTTCATCTGAGCGGTTTGGCAAGATTGTTGCCCTTTGCTTATATTGTATGTGTTACAGCAACAAAACTAGAGCTTACCTTTATAATATGACAGGTATACCACTTTGATGCACTATTAAACCTGTCTAAATTGTTTTTCTTTTTTTTTACTTTATGGTAAAACCTAACAATTTTACTAAAATAAAAGCCAAAAAGAAAATTGCATCTACATGCACTTCAAGGGTGTGGATAGAAAATGGAAAGGGACTGAGGAGACATTCAAGAGGTGACATGCACAAGTTTTTCTTAACATATTAATTACAGACAACCTGATAACTTGGATCTTGGGTTGCTGCAATAATATATAGAAAAAAACCCACACAAGCGTGATTGTCATCTGCTAGATACACAGTTCTCCTGAATCTTACAGATCAGGGCTGTAGCACCTCCTGTAGTTTAGCCAGCTGGGCTGTTTAAGTAGTCTAATGGAGTCTCCTGTTGTTTGATTAGCTATGCAGGGCTATTAACATTAACTAAAATAGATTGATGATGAAAGCTTGTTGATTCCTCATCCTTGGCACAGAATACTGTTGAAATACACATTTGAAGAATGTGCTACACAACAGGAACAGAAGTCAGAGGTTTGCATCCAAAACGAGGCAATATTATCCTTAAATGTGGGAATTTAAATCCGGAAGATGGATGAATGCATGCATGCATTTCATAGAGAAGACTATGAGCTTTGCACAAAGGAGACAGGAAAATATTTGAGCACAGTTTTGTTGCTATAACAGAGTAAATGGGATGGTTCATCTTCTTCACTTAGCTTTATGTGTGCAACAAATCTGTTTATAAATGGCCCTATGCTAAATAATAAAAAAAAAAAAATCACAAATCTGATGTGTGTCTCTATGTCTCATACACATGATGTAATCATAAACTAGGTCTGAACCAGCAAAAGAAAAAAATGATATCCTGCTTTGCTCCTGCAAATGTTACTTTTTGATTCAAAACCAGGGCACCTAAACAGGTACACTTTAACACTAGCCACTGCAGCATCATATACATGCCTAATATTAGTACGTGCTCCCGGAAGCAATGGTGAGAAGCCTTGTTAAACGTCTAAACCCAAGAACAGAAATGTAATATATTGCACCTTTCTTAGTTTTCTTTATTTTCACCTATTGATCCTGCAAGTAACAAATTTCCTGTCTTAGGGTGACAACACTAACTCACTGTACTGTATCTATGGAGGAGCAGTGTTGTGACCCTGGGCTGATTGCTCCTGATTTGGACTGCAGAACACCTCCCCATTTCCTCCTCTTCATACCATAAGGAGAAAGTGGTCTGTAGTTCATAGAGTAGAACTGGGCAGGGCCGGTAAAAATGATTGATATTTCAGTGCAGCTGAGTCACTATTTTGTCAGCTCGCTAAAGGAAATGATAAGATCCTTGGATTTTGGTAACATCAACAGGTATTGTGTGCCCTTATAAAACAAATGTACCAAACTCTTTTCATAGATTTAATTATTTCATTAGTTTTAATAGACCAACAAGGGGGGAAATAGGAGAGGATCATTGTTAAGGTTACATGCACTTTAAGCTCATGTCATGACCTGGAGCTTACACACTGCTGATGACTCTGTCCCCACCCCTACACAACAATACTGGTTACCTGAGCTGCCTATCACCAAATAATACCTCAACCTAAAGCCCTGTGATCCTCCGTCCCACTAGTTCTGGTTGTGGCAACCAGTCTGCCAAAGCATCCCTGCATACCAGTCTCCGACAAGTCTTGCTGCAACTCTGTTTTCAACATCCTTACGTAGGGATGTTCAGATACCAAGTACCGTACGCAGTACAAGTACATGTATAGATACTTTTCCAGCTCCAAGACTAGAGAAAAATTCAAAAGTTAGGAGGCAGCTGTCATTTTTAAGGAGCACACAGAGCTCCTGGGATTTGTACATCCGTATTTTAATGCATTATTTCTTTTTTAAAAATATATATAAGTGATGCACCTATACCATTTTTCCAAGTACAAGTACTGATACTTGCTCAAGTACTTACAGATACAAAGTACTGATACATTTTTGTTTATTGTCATGTGACAGTTTTTCTAAAACAATACAGACTAATGATTTCAGGACAGTGGTGGAGTGCCAAAGCTAGTTCCCAGCTGCAACCACTGCAACCCTGGTAGTTCTTGTGAAAATGCCAAGTATCGGCACTGGTATCTGGACATCCCTATCCTTACGTATGCACTGTAATTAGGGCAGAACCAAGGTCACATAATCAGAATGGGGAACATGTGCTGCTAGAAGTGCCCACCCACCTTCCATCAATGAAGAGAAGGGGATTGGGGACACCAGCAATGGGATAAATAGGAGCATAACTGTGTAACAGAAACTTTATTTTAAAATACTAGACTGAAAGTAGGTGGAAATAGCCAGTCAGGACCCCCACCCCTAAAAAAAAAAAAAAGCCATTTAAAACCCGTTCTAAATTTGTTTTTTTTCCTAATTTCCTATTGGTTCTAATCTCTACTCTTCTTAGAAAAATGTTTGTCCGAGTTCCTACCAGTTAGAATATATTTCTAACAGGGAAGGTTCCTATGTCAGATAATTTGTGCCTGGAGACCTACAAAGATGTATCACTAAAATGTTATGTGCTCAAAGTGTCTGTATAGTCTAAAACACAGATGGGTGAAAGGAACAGAGAACCGACATCCCATGCTAAGATCTTGGCACACAGTTTTTATACTCTAGTCAGCATGCATTTCAAACATGATCCCACGTCTTGCATGGCCAATGATTACTACATCACAAGAAGCAAATACTTTTAGTAGTTATTGACTAATTTACTAAATCTTATGTGAATTTCTAATTTTGTATTTTTTTTCATATTCTCATTAGATATTTGTAGATCATCAGTCAAGGCAAAATAGATTAGCTGTTAAAATGACTTCTAACTAAGGACTGTTACGATATAAGCCACACAGACAGTGCATTGTTTTTATTGATTTGGGCAACTGATTGAATTGTATTGTGAGAAAAAAGGAGTAGTAATGCACAGTTGTTTTTTGTGCTTATAAAATAATTTTTATATATATTTATATATATATAATTACAAATAATTTCCAGTAACAAAAAGTTTAAAATATTCAAATTATATTGATACTTTTATGCCATTGCCACCCACCGCTATGTCTTCTCTCTCTGCAAAACTTCCAGCTGATACTTACAGTGAAGTGAAGTTTCGTGATCATACAGCCCTGACAGCTCCAATGAGAGCCTCTTCAGAATTCTCAGGGCTGCATGATTACAGATGTTTCCTTAGAGCTATGTCTTTGTGGCTCCCTTTGCCAGACAGTTAGTATCAGCTTTGAAGGGAGCTTGAAGTCACTACCATAGACAAGAATCAACTCCCGAGTCCCTCTGGCACTGTCTGTGCGGTAGTGGCCGTAACTCCTTGCTCAACCTCTGACACTGGCAGCACCGATAGTGACAGTGGGACCCCAGTTAGCTGTAGGGAAAGTTTTGTAATCATGCAGCCCTGACAGCTCCAAAGAGACTCTCCAGAGCTGTCAAGGCTACATAATTACAGAAGTTTCCTTATAGCTAAGTGCAAGCACCTCCTGCTCTCGATATCAACAGGAAACTTTGCAAGAAGGGGTGACATGACAGTAAGAAGAGTAAGATTCCTATTTACTTTGCAAGAGTTGTAAATAAAAAAAGAACAAAAATGAATACAAGAATGTATCATTGCAACTCCCTCCTCATATTAACAATCAGTTACAAAGCGGTCCACAACTCTGCCCCCGGCTATATCTCAAACCTGCCCTCGGCTATATCTCAAACCACCTTGACTGCCTTTGGGCGATCCCTAAAGACTCATCTCTTCAGGGAAGCCTATCCCACCTCAACCTAACCGCTGAACCATCACGTTCTCAAACAATTCATCCCCACGCAGCTCCCTCCTCATCTATCACTTCCCCCTCCTTTTAGGTTGTAAGCCCTCAGGGGCAGGGCCCTCCTTACCATCTTGTCTTGAATTGTATTGTGATTGTAATGTCTGCCCTATATTGTAAAGAGCTGTGCAAACTGTTGGCGCTATATAAATCCTGTGTAATAATAATAATTTATTTTTTATTAAAGTAATTTTAATAAAAAAGTTAGGATATGGTGGCAGGGTCCCTTTACGTTTAAACACTAAACACAGAAATTTCAGTGTTTAAACAATCCAGAGAAGAGTTGACTACATTTTAACTTAAAACTTGGGATTCTGACCACTTAGCACGTGAAAGAACTCACAATTTGATAATAAAGAGGTTCTTGGGTTCTTACTAGCCAGTAGTTCTTGCCTACCAAGAACATTATGATATACAGTAAAAAGCATAATTTCTCCTTAGGACTTCTTTTTAAACAATAACTTTCCATCAATCTTAACACAAATTAGACTCCCATTATTAGATTGCAGTTGTGGCAATCTCCTTAAAGCTTAAGACTAAAACCGTGGCGGGTTAAAATACTGGCACTTGTACTATGAAATGGTTTTCTACAAGTCTTCACATGTGAACAACAATGTCTAACAGCATGCTGGATTAGGAATGAAAGAGGGGAAACTGCCACAAAGTGGGCTCCTTTTAAAACTAATACCCTGTAAGTTCAGTCTGGTAAATAAAAACTTCATCAGCTTCATTATGCTACATAATAGCTCAGCAGATTGATAAATGACTGCAGTGCTCAGTTTATAGAAAAACAAGGAAAATCCCTAACTGAATAGTCTGCTGTATGTGCTAGTTCTCAGCAGGTAACTGAAGCTGACATAATAAAACAAATGCAAACATGGAGTTGGCTTGAAAGGGGTAGGTGAAATTCAGACATGCAGCTCTTTTAGGGGCTAAAGCAGCAGTATCCCTATTCCATCTGGATCACACAAAGTGCCGAGTTGATTTTCTCAGGCATGTATGCAGGATTTAGGCATAGGCGAATGAGAATTTGAGAACATGTGGACCCTGAATGCCATCATTATTGCTTAGTTTCCTAAAAGGAAGCCAACATCATGGCCCAAATGTTCAGATTATCATAGCTAGTTATGTCATTAAATGATACTCTACTAGCTAGCACCAATCACTAAAAGCACCAAAGGGACAAATACAAAAGACAATGGGCTTTATAGTTTTAATTGTTGGCCACAAGCTGGCCGCCCTGATTGGCTGAGAAGCTGCATAAGAATTAGCAGGAGAGGTCGGCCAATGACAAAAGCTACCAGAATAGTGCAAGAGCAAGTTATGAAAAGAGCACACACATAGGGGACCACAAGCAACATCACAACCCTGCATCCCTGCAGAACCAAGGGTAAGAAGTCTGCACATACTTGTGGAACTACAAGTGACAGCTCAGCTGCAACTCTGCAGCTGAACTGTGACAATGCCCATGCGAGAGATAAGCTTAGTTGCTTGTAGGAGACCATAACAACCGAAACACAAAGCTTTTGGCATTCTTTCCAGAAGCTCCAAGGTATGTGGGTCTGTTCTGGAGATTAAGCAGTATTGTTTCATGAAGGTATAACTCTGACAGTGTTACACCAATTAAGTCACTGTCAATATTGGCCAAACGGTAATACCCTACACTGATACCTCAGAAAAGAGTCCCAGTAAACATCAGTGAAATCCTTTAAAGTAAGAACATCATTGTTTACCTAGTTTTCCTTAATGGACAATAAAGAAACAACTTTCGAAACTACATTAACATGTTAAAGTCTGTATGATATTTCATACACGAGTCTTTTTTTTTTGGTTATTACCTCTTTCCTGTGGCATTGGTGACTGGCTTAACGCAGGATGTGAGCTGGATTCAGTTTGACTGCCTGCCGGTTGTGGTGGCATCTGGGTTCCTATACAGTGAAAAACAGCTTTTAATAGTACAAGTCAAAATACAATGTGAATGATTAAAAGTGTAGAAACGGTTTCCTTTGCAAATTGAATGTTAGTAAAGATGAACGTGTGATCATAGCTTATTTACCAAGCTCAGAAGACATTCACTTTGTTGCGTAAACCATCTTTATTCCTTTAGCTAATTAAAGTGATACTAAATTCAGGAGGTAAATCTTAAAAATGCATTCAAGTACCTCAACTATTAACAAAAACGTATTTTCTGTATCACTCAGCTGTAGATCCTCAAATCATCTCTGAATTGGTGCTGACACTGTCCTTCCTTCTGGAGGGTGGCTACTTTTGTTCCCCGTGGTCCCTGTGTGTGTTGTAAAGTAGTCACCGCTTCAAGCTCGCTCCCGTGATGGACTACAATCCCACATTTAGTTCAATAATTTGTATTGAGATTGTAGTTCATCACAAGAGCTAGCTTGGAGGATTATTAAACTGTGGACCACTTTGTTAAGCCTGAGACATCCCACAGAGTTCTCTATATTTAACATTTCAGAGAGACCTCATTCATTGGAGGAGAGACCAGTCACATGACTGAGAGATCTCTCTGTATTTCATCAAAAACTACTATATTTTGCAGCATATATGGAAATATAAAAGTAATATAGAACCTTATATAATAATCAATAAGTAACAGCAGACATTTCTAATACCTGCAAGATACTGCTCAGACACTGTAGTGGTAAAATAAAGAATTTTGTATGTTTTTAATACACCCACGTAGAGTATACAACACAAAATAGATAACCCAAAGCGCTCAGGGAATCCTTTGCCATGTATTACATGTTTATATGTTAAACAAATATTTTGTGTGCTATATATCAGCAGCTTAAAAGCAATAAAATAAATAATAAAAATATAACAATTTCAATAGAACTGCCCCAAAACCCTTATATTATCCCTTTAATGCATATCACTTATAGCATGGCATTTTTGTCTGTCTTGAAGGCTTGCTTTGGGAGAACAACATTTCATTCATAGTTAAGCATATGCATGATGCTGTTGCTGCACAGGAGGGGGTCATGCCAAGACTGCAAGTCTTTATGCTGTCACAAATATTTCTATGCGGTTGAAAAAAAAAGGGAAAGAAAACACAGCTAAATACAGTAAACAAACAGCAATTCCATGTAGCAGGATATACCTCTGCCTAATATGTGTGTATGCCTGAGGCACTGCTATCAACAAAAGCTGATGGGAGTCAAGAGGATGTAAAAAAAAATGGATACTGTTTGAGAATCCAGACATGCAGACTTATTTAATAAGACAGTGTGAAAAGCAATTAGGATTTTTTAAGTGCAGTCACCCAAAGCAACAGGATTTCAATGAAAGATGAGAAAAGTCTAGATGGTCATGGTTTAGCTGGTCATAGTAATGATCAGAAGTAGGCTGCTGGTGCACAAATGGGTGCTTAAACACTCATATAACAAAGCACAGGAACAAGACTAGGTTACAAGAAAGAAACCTATGAGACCTAAGAAACCAAAACCAAATTACTAACTAAGGAATAAGCAACAGATCGGGAAGCAGAAAGCTCTAGAAACCACTATCAACACTAAAATTCTTGACAGCGAAATGCCTTAAGCTAGCCATACGCACATAGATTTTCTTTCGTCAGCCTGCTTGCTGAATATGAGAAAATCATCCGATTCCCCCATTCACGCTAAACAGCATGGATAGAGCCGCTTCTGGCTATTTACAGCCACAGTCTAAAGAGAAGAGTAAAAACTAAATAGCTCCCATTCTAGCATAACCCCATTAGACAAAAACTTTGCACTGAGCTGTCCTATAAAAGATAAAGCACTGGGATCAGTAATTCACTTGTGTGTAAAAATTCAAGCTTAAAATATTGAGGTCTGTAGACAAAAATGTTTTTTTTCAATAGGCTGTAAGGGCATGAAAAGAAGCTAGAAGCTCCACCTGCTGACTAAAAATTACAAAATGTCATCAGGATGGACCAGCAGGGAGAAGATTGCAGAGCCGCTGACTGTCAAATCCAGGATCGCTGAACGTCTATGTGCGTGGCTGGGCGGCTCCTGCCACTTTTAGGATGACCGAGTGGAAGATCGGTAAATATGTGTAATATTTACCGATCCTCTGTGTGCAGCACAAACACTGGAGTAATCACTGATCACTCCAATGTTTGTAAAGAATTGGGGACACACAGTATTAGGTATCCGCAGTTATGAATGAACAGAAGTGCTTTACATCACTTCTGTTCATGAGTTTCTGAATAGGTAGAAGCTGCTCAGTACAGAGGCTTCTATCCATTCATAACTAGTTGATAGTAAATATTTACTATCTCTGGTTTGTGAATGAATGGGAAGCCTCTGTACTGAGTGCTTTCCATTTATTCAGTGCTGAGGCTGCAGAGAAAGAGATTGAATTCATTTAAAAAGGGAAATATCAAGGGTATGTATCCGCCCCAGCAGTAAAAATAAAAAAGTAATTAAAAAAAATAAAATAACCCCCCCCCCCCCACACACACACACATATATTATACACGTGCAACAGTGTGCACCATGCACTTTGTTTTAGTAAACAGTATGCACTATTTAACATGTAGTCTAGGTATTGTGTTCTGGTTTTTGTTTTTACTTTTCTAGATGCACTTGAAAAAAGGGTCTGCATGACATCCTGGCACTTTATTCTTATAGATTATAGTTTCGTTTGACATTTATTGTTTACCACTTGTTTGGCTACTTGTGTTTTATTTGATAATAATACTTATATTGTGTTTACAAGTTATATTGTGTTTACAAGTTTGAATAAAAGTTTTATTTTCATCATACTTTTTAATCAGTTTCTTTGGGGCTTAACAAAATGGGAGGCTTTAAATGTTTTGGGTACTGGATAAATGGGTGTTGCCACTGAGGGGTGTGGTCACGGAGGGGCACTGTAAGGCTTTTTCACACAGGGCATCTTAAGGCCTAAGGCTGGCCCTGTCCCTAGCCATTCCTTAATACACTTGTTAGTAGATTAGTAGATAAAGATATAGCTCAGATTTGTTTGCAAAGGGATCCATGCTGCAGAAATGCAACACTGAATAATCTGTATATGAGGCTCCATGCATGTTCATAGAATAGTTCACAATAATTCCCGCAATCAAAAATATCCCCATATGTATACGTTTATTTAAATACAGATATGTAAATCTTTGGCATACACACACACAATGGTAATTATTTAAAATCAGTATAACTGGCCTTAAAGTTTATTTCCTTTTTTACAGTCAAATTTGAGAACCCCACCCCCCATATGTAAGTTATATGTCCCCATTCAGACAGCATACCTAAAAATAATCTTAAAAAAATATGATATACCTTTTTGTTGTTTCTTTGGGGCAGGATCATACACATGACACTATAGGCAGCTTCTGTTGCTTTGGATGGTAATGTGGAGACGAGGAACAAACTGAGGGACAGTTTTTCAAAAAGTGCATTAACATACAATGTCCTGCCCAGGACATAACCCCTTTGTTTTGTGAATGGGAACATGTAACACGTATAACATGCACGTTATCACAATATGGCTGAAAAAGTGGAGAAACACTTTAAATTGGCTTTAATAACTTCTTATGTCGTATGGGTCAATGACAGTTTCGGTAAATGTGTATCTGTCTCTCTGTAACTGCCTTGTCCCGGGGGTAGGCAACCCATTCATTGTGATTATGAGTAGTTTATAGCCAACTAGTGGATTTCAGAGCTTTTAAACTAAAGGACACACACAGGCATACTAATGTTCCCCTGGATACAGGCAGGCTCCGTTCTGCTTTTATTGTTTTCTCTAGCCTTCCCTGACACTTGCTTACATGCTTTGAACAGTCCTAACTGACCAACTCTTTTTAATTCTGGTTTAAGTCAACCTATTGGCTTACAGTGGGTTTGAGTCACAGTGAAACACACAGGATTATCTGGGCTGGTGTATGACACAATGACAAAGCCAGAGCAGCTCTCGAAGTGGTGGTCAGGCTGGATCTAGTTGGCAGCATGCTTATTTAGCTGGAGTTCAAAGTAGGAAGACAGCTGTCAGTTTCAGTGGTGGTAGGGGATATATGCAGACATATTTACCAGTCTCTGTCTCAAAGAAAAAATAAACTGTTCCAAAGCAGGAACATTATGTTACTGGCTCAATTAACACAAAATATTTAAACATGCATAATACTAGGTTAGGTCTGTTTCCATTTATTTGTTTTAAATGTGAACTCCACAAGTCCTTGTTTTGGAGGTTTACAGTCCTTGAACTCCAGCCCCTATACCAAATACCACTGTCCTTTTTGCATGAGTTCATTATTAAATCAGGACATTCTGCAAACTATGAACTAAGAAATACACAGAAGCCCTTGTATCCTAAGCTTTGGGTTATACTAGGCCAAAATGTAATGGTGCAGATTGATTTCCAGCGAATACAAAAAAAGTGGTTACAGCAAACTTATTTTCATGTTTTATTTATTGCTGAAGTTTGGTAGTAAACGGATGGGCCAATAGCATGAGCATAAAATTACCCTAATTGCCTGATAATGTTTCTGTTTATGGATAGCTGCAGAGGACTTAAAAGTATATCGAAAGCCAAAACATTTTTTATTTTTTTTTAAATTTTGGCTAGAGTAGGGAATGGCTAGCCTTTTTCTTTCTGCCATTTATTCCTCACTGGGGAAATTTTCCTTCACCTCCTGTACTTTTATACAAAACGTAAACTGAAGGGAAATCACTCCAAAGTAAGGGACAGCTAGTCTTTGTTAATCTTAGACAGACTGAAATTTTTTCAAACAAGGACATAGTTAACCTCAAAGCACTATTCCCAAAAACAAAATTGGCTTTCGATGCACCTGACTTGCCATCTGATTAATATATACAATGGAGCAGATGTGTAAAAGCATCTGATTTCACTAGACAATGTCTATTCTCATGTCATATGATAGTTCATGCAGCCGAATTTCCTTGCGCTCCGCAAGGGCAGCCTAACTTGTACTCACTCTTCTCAGTAAATTAGAACCACTAGGTGACATGATTATACAAAGAAGCCCCCGCAAACCATCACTACTTTTTTCATCAGAATGTTACATTAGTAACCTAGTCAAGTTCCAAAAACTGTTATGCTCTTCTCAATGTCTTTGTGCCTCTATTATCAAGTTAAAGCAATCATTAATTTAGAACCCTCAGCAAGGTCAGTGAGAACACTCATCTGAATGTTTTTAATGAAGTTTCCTAGCACAAGCTCCTTGTCAGTTTCTTTTTTTTTTGGAAAGGAGAGTATCAACATTAACAATCACTGGTTACACCATTTATGAAACATGCAGATGTGGATTATTAAAGATTAATGCATTTCGAGATTGATGTCGGCATTCCGTTTGTCTCACGCCGAAACTAATTCTGTTCTTCATTAGTCAACGACAAATCACATCATGAGAATGCAGTACAGATATCAAAGGTGCAAATACAGGTGGAGAATAAATAATGAAACAGATTACTAAGCTACTTTACACAGGTAGTAACTTAACATGAATTCATTTATAAAAAATACAAAAAATAAAATCTGTAGGTATTTGAGGAAAATGTGAAAAATAATGTTTAAAGTCCTTTTACCATTTCTACTGTTTAGCTTGGACTATAAAAACACACAATGTAAAATAAAGTCCAAGATTTGACCAACATGATCTCCACAAACACAAACAGGACAAGGATGTCAGCCAAATATTTCAGATTTTGACTCATCAGTCCATAGCACCTGCTGCCATTTTTCTACACCTCGGTTCCTTTTTTTTGTGCATAGTCGAGTCGCTTAGGCTTGTTTTCACGTCTGAGGTATGGCTTTTTGGCTGCAAGGGTGCTCTGGACTGATGAGTCAATATTTGAAATATTTGGCTGTAGCAGGAGGCAGTTTGTTCGCCAAAGGGCTGGAGAGTTGTACAATAATGAGTGTCTGCAGGCAACATTGAAGCAAGGTGGAGGTTCCTTGCAAGTCTGGGGCTGCATTTCGGCCAATGGAGTTGGAAATTTGGTCAGGATCAATGCTGTCCTCAATGCTGAGAAATACAGGCAGATATTTATCCATCATGCAATACCATCAGGGAGGCCTGTAATTGGCCCCAAATTTATTCTGCAGCAGGACAACGCCAAACATACAGCCAATGCCACTAAGAACTATCTCCAGTGTAAAGAAGAACAAGGAGTCCTGGACGTGATGGTTTGGCCCCCACAGAGTCCTAATTGCAACATCATGGAGTCTGTTTGGGATTACATGAAGAGATAGAAGAATTTGAAGCAGCCTACATCCACATGAGATCTGCGGTTAGTTCTCCAAGATGTTTGGAACAACCTACCTACCGAGTTCTTTCAAAAACTGTGTCTTGATTAGAGGATGTCAAACTGGAAGAGTGGGCATTCCTATGCAGGCTACATTTGCATGCTGACAGCCCTAGTTACCACCCACATGTGATGCTGAACCACCATTATTTAAAGAGCTTAAATGCAATGAATGAAGAGGGCATTCCGGGGACAATCAGGCTGTGGGGAAAGCAATGGATGATGGTGGATGTCCTCCAGCCAGGAAATCAGATGGGCTCTATCTGAGTTTCTGCAGCTTCTAATACACACTGTTAGAGGCTCACAATGCGCAGTGAAATCAAAGTAAACAATTTAAGTACAAGAAAGGAGCCTATACAACTGTGAGTAAACTGAAGGTAAGGCTGGAGTTCATCTTTAATGGGTATCAAAAAAACGTAAAAAACTAAAAATAATATGTACTTCTATATTGAATTTCAATAAGTTCTATCTCACTTTTAATAACCATATTGATATAGAAGTTTTTAAATGTACTTATTAAAGGTGCCCATAGTATGCACTTCTTCAATTCCCTCAATGCACTGACACAATTTCACTCAGTGCTGTGAATATGTACTTCCTTGTGTCACAACTTGCAAGAGTCTGCCTTCTGAACTACAACTCAACATCCGAACAATGTTGCATTATCGTTGCTTTCGGGAAGCAATGCATGATGGGATATATAGTCTTGAGAAATCGATTGCATCACATCAAGCTTCAGGGAAAGAGATGCCAAGCACACTGGGAATACAGGTTGATGAAAGTAATGGGCAGATAGAAGGCAGCACTCACTACACAAAAGGGTTTTGTTTCATGTAAGCTTCGATTACATTAACAAAAACAACTTTGGTATGTATTCCTATTACAATGCTCAAATACTATGTAATGCTGATGTTATAACAGCATAGTACATGCTGGGACTTTACAACTCATTTAAATAATTCACTGTTAACCTTGGGTAAGTCCTGTGAGTGTTCCTGTCATACAAAGTAACCACACTGTAAAAAGTAACAGCATTTCAGCTGCATTATTCAGTAGCAATGCAAAAAAAAAAGCCATTCTTAAGTTTATTTAGCTGTGTTTGTTCCAGGAAGATCAAACAATGGCGTTTTGAGTAATGAAATTGTCTACAACAAGTATATGTTTTGAAGTGAACTAGTGCCAGAGCAGTATAAAATATGAGATTGTCTATACATGGGAAGATGTTTTTCTCTTCTCTTCTGTTCTCTCTCTCTCTGACAAATTCTACCGAACCCGGCAGTGTGAGCTGACACAGCACATCATCAAAATGCACAGCTTCTGCCAGACAACGTAGCAAATGCTAATTTCATTTGTCTTGCTTCGCATGCCAAATTGTACCAGTTTACTAACAAAGCAAAAATGTAAATAAGGAAAACTGTTTCAAGGCTCAGATTTCTTTCAGGGTTTTTATTTTTTGGGTTGTCTTTCGTCAGCGGTTTCCCTAGCAAATGGTAACAGAAATGTAATTTCTATTAAGTGTTAAACAGGGACATAAGGTCAATGGAATAGGAGAGGGCCATTATATGGGATATTTGAGGATACATTTCTGTGCACCGCAAAGCTGCAGTGGGAAATTTAAAGCCACCCAAAAATTAAACCCTATGCCCTCTATTTTCTATGACTTACCTACTGTAGCAATGCTTTATTTACACATAAAAAACACTAACCCATCTTACATGATGCATACTGTATACTTGATATTTTGATATACTGTAGATCAATTTAGAATGTCATAAAAGATTGATATATCAATAATGCTAAACTCTGGGCAAGCAGCAAAATACATAGATGAAATACATATAGGGGGCTGTTTGCCTGCAAAAGGATTTGTATTTCTGTTTATCTTGAGATCTACACAGCCCTACCTGGGCGGGGGTACCACGGAGAGAGAGCAGAGGACCGGATTTTTCTCTGCTGCAGTTAACCTGCAAAGGCTAACGTTTACAGGTCTTACCCTTCAGCTTGTCTGTGACTGGACAGTGGAAGAAGAAGCAGCAGACTGATGAGCTCATCTCTCCATCAGTCTGCTTTCTTTTCCTATCAGCGTACACATCGTAGCACATGAGCACTGCTGGACAGCTGTCTGGCTCATTGTGTTGCTTCCCCTTCTCACAGTCTGAGCTATGCTAAAGGTTAATACCAAGTTGCATTCAGGTACTTATCCTGCTTGCATTAAAAAAAATTACAATAGTATCCTCTTGTTAATTGCTGCATATGTGTAAATTACATTCAACTTCAGAACTTCTAAAAAGCAAAAGAGAGCAGGTTAAGGGCATCAGAGAACAGCTCTTGATTCTAATCAGGGGCGTCCCGAGGCCGGGTGTCACCCGGAGAGGTTACCGGGTGACACCTCGCCGTGACGTCGCCGCGCATGCGCGTTCTCACCATGCGGTGCGCGATGACGTCATCGTGCATGCGCAGCAATCTTATTGATGCCTACCGGTGGCCATCTTGGTGATGGATGCCGGCAGAAAGAGGGGGGGACAGTCACCCGGCGGAATAAGGTATGCCGCCGTGTCCCCTCCTCTCTCCCAAAACTGTCGGGCACTTAGTCCATGACCGAGTGCCCGACTTTTCAAAGGGGGTGACACCAAAATGACTGTCGGTCATTTTGGTGTCACCCTTTCAATGGTGTCACCCGGGTTCGGGCCGCACCCCCCTTGTGACGCCACTGATTCTAATGGGCAGTAATTTGAACAGAAACTGAATAACGAGAATGAGTCAACAAGCCCATGGCAAGGAGCCAATTGAGGAACAGATATAGCAGCACAAAGAGATATGCTAGGATTGTTCACAGTTGAACTGTCAGAGCTGAGACAAATCTCAAATATGCTAGGCGTTACCCCTGATCTTCCAACCACAGATCTTCTTTAATTTTGCAACCTGTACTAAAATGTCAGCTACAATAGTAGCTTTGCTTATTTACTCACCAGGAATACTAGCAGGTGATATTGGACCTGATCTTGACTGGTTGCTCCCAACTGGTGAGCCCACAGGTGATGGTGATGGACCACCACCCTGGATGCTGGGTAGATGTGGTGATGCATGAGGAGAAAAGGGTGACTGTGCAGGATTGCTTTGCTCCCCCTGGCTGCTTGTAGAACCCGAGGCACTCACAGCCGAACTTAATGTTGCTTCAGTTCCAGTTGGCAAGTCGTCAATAGAACCAGATAAGTCCTGTGAGACAAGCAAGAAGCTAATGATTAGACAGAGCCAACATCAAGTTATAAAGCAATGCATGAGTGTAGACAATATTACTGGCATTCTTTGGGTACATCAGCCTACATGTTAACAACTCCTAAAATTATTCCGTTAATGAAAATGATAAATGTGACATTTGATTTCCACTTACTTAATGCTGACAATGCACAGCACTTTACATATCACATATCTGTCTCCCAAACAGTTCACAGTCTAAGTCCCTGAAATATCCATAAACACACAAAGGTCAGTTTGGATAGAAGCCAATTACCTTACTGGAATGTTTTTGGAATGTGGGTCAAAACCACAGCACCTGGAAGAAACCATGCAAGCACAAGGAGAAAAAATCCATGTAGACAGAGTCCCAGTTGTGAGACAAACCAAAAACCCAGAGCTGCAAGGCAGGATGGCTTATGGCTGGCCATACACCAGTAAATTGTATTTGAAAAAAATTTGTTTTCAGAAAGTTCATTTGAGTTTATAAGCATTAATAGGGTCAAATCAACAATCATTTTTGGCTGTACTGATAAGAAAAATTGGAGCAGGATGGAAAAGTTTTCTTGATCAAAGGAAATTCTAACAGTGTATGTGGTTTTCGTTTAGGAAACTCTATTCATTCCCAAATTGAATGTGTAGTGCAAAAATCTACCAGTGTATGGCCAGCTTAACACTTAACCACTGTGCTGCAGGATGGCCAAAACATTTGTATTGAGTCTAAGTTAACAGTATGCTTAACAAAACAATGTTGTCTGATATCAACAGCACTGATGAGCACAGATAAAAGGTGTGGGCTGATGGCTTTGAAATGTTCTTTTGATGTCAATGACGGGACCTGGTGAAAGTGTTCTTTTTCTGGTATTGGAAGACCCTTGACAAGAACTACTGAGTTGGGCACTTGACATGATGAACTATGTTACAGATATAAACTACATATGACTAAAGGTTCTTTATAAAAATGTTATACAAGATTAGAAACTGTGCAATCACAGCATGCATCTCTTATGTCCCTATTCAAGACGGTTGTAACAGCACCAATCAACACTACAATTTGTTTTCCTTCAAGTGTGTCAAGGCAAGACACATAAAGAACAGCTGAAATAAAAGATAGTTATTTACAATGGGCTGTTAGAGTAGTGTGAATATTAGAGCAAAACTATTTTTTTTACAGTACTCTGTATTCTGATGGCTTTACAAATCCTCTTTCTATTAATCCCCTGGGGACTTGTGCTGGAGTGAGTGACAGGTCTCATGCACTTTCTTAAGTTCATGCCTTCCAGGGATTTGTTCTCACAAATCTGATGTAACTCATTCATAAAAGCAAAGGAGGTCACGTGAAGCCACAGTGTGTAAGGCTTAAAATATATTATGGAGAGGAAGGAGGGGGGTGATGGAGGGCAAACAGGCTCCAGTTCCACAGCATGGCTTGACCTGGCATAACCTTTGAAATGTGATTATTCACACAGTGAGAGAGGGATTTCCTTGAAGGAGATTTACAATGGTGAAAACACTCTCCCTGAAATAACCTGACAATGCAGGATGAATAAAAGATGACTTGCCAAAAACAAGGCAGGGAAGGATGTGATTACTCCTAAGTAATAACTGAAGACAAATCAGGAGTGCACAGAGCACAGTTATGGGGCTGCTAAAGATGCTTACAGTCTGCTATAGGCTAAAATCCATGTGAGCTTATTTGACAGCTTTGATGAGCTGATGTGCAAAATTGCCAATGTTTTTTTATTGTGCTTGGAAGCTTTTACCTGTTTATTGGCAGACTTGGACATGACAGCCATTCCCTCTACTGATGCAAACAAAATTGCACAGAAAAATGAGAGAGAGAATAACAATCTGACATACTATTCTACACAATAACAACACCATTTTACAGAGCCTGTAATGCTTACTTAGTTCTTGTTATCTTACAATTATACCACACAATGACATTGAATCCAATAGACTATCTAATCCACTATCCTACCAATAAAGTTGATGCTTCTGTTGGTCAGATTTGTCAGTCCTAAAAAGCCTGTCATTGAAACCTCTATGGATCGACAGACAGGGATACATCAAATGACTGATATGTTAGCTAACAATTATGTAATTGACACGGAGAAAAAAGGTGATTTCATATTTGCTTCAGTGTTTGTATGAAGAACTAACTGATCTTCAGAGAATTCTGCAGTTCAGGAAACCATGCAAGTGGCCTTAAAAACTCCCAACTGGACAATGTACATGGGTGTATTCAAGCAAATAAAATAATTTGCAATTCACAGACTCTATTTGCTCATCACTATGAGGCAAGTAATTCACAAACATTGAGAATAGCACAAGCTTTAGGCAAGTTAGAGCTTTTGCTATTGTAAAGGTAGAAACTATCTTTTGGTGATAGACAGGAATGCAAAAGTTGGAGTAGTCTTTCAAACCACTGCCTTAACCAGGAAAAAGATGCTGTATTGTTTAACAACATTCCTCACTAGTTTCCTCATTATGTGCTCTGACTGATACATGACCATGGATATATGGAAGTCAGTCCAACCAACATCTTATCTGCAGCTTCCATGTGTCCATGGTTTATCTTCATATTACCATGATATGTGCACATTGTTTATTGAAATCCTACTGTACTTCAATATAAATTATGCTGTTGAATGTGTTTACCTATATTTAAAAAAATCTAAAAAGTAAAAAAAAAAATACAAAATGAAGATGGTGGCTTGGATCAGCACCCCAAGTTAAGGCCATCCTAGACTGCAGTTGCATTGCACTGAACTGCACACTTGGGTAACTAAGTAAACTCATCAAATAAGTTAGCAAATCTTCAAGGAAGGTCCCATTAAATTTCTTTAAAATTCATCATCTTACATGCTCAAGCATGCTAGAGAATACGTTAAACCTCTATGATACAGGACAATGAGAGATAGAGTTGGAGCGTTAGAGTGGACAATGAGGGTGCAACGATCAGGGGCAGACTGGGAAGCTTTGGCTTGCAGGGCTAACATGACCCTTTCATAATAAGGACAGATTTTTGTGGTATTAAAAACATGCAGTCTCATTGACTGGTGGACATGGTAAAAGGCGGTGTTCCTAAAGGCCATAGTTTAGTGTAACACACCTTTTTATATCTTCCAAAACCAGCTTCCTTACCGTTTTTTGGCATTCAGTCACATGACATTTCAGAGCTGCAGATGAAGTTGGTGCTGGAAGACAGGGACATGCGGTTAACGGAGGCAGGTGAGGCAGAGCCTCACCTAGAATTATGGAGCAAAAAGCTGTCAGCTTCAAGTCTGAAGCTGACAGCTTTTTCTCCATTCAGATCGGCATCTAACAGGTTACAGAGCAGGGAAATCCTCCCTGCTCCGTAACCTGTCATGGATGAATTGCTGCCTTTTAATTACAGGCAGCGCTGCATCCGGCTTTTGACAGGTAGTTAGTGAGGGACATTCCTCCTTCACACTAGCTTGGGGATGGGTTGGGGGTGGGGCTTCAGCCGGTGGGGGAATGCCTCATCCTGAATATGAGGTACCGCGCGTCACTGCTGGAAGACTTCACTCCCCAAGACATAGTGATTGACAGTCGAAATGAGATAGATATAAAATACCCAGCATGTGTCACTAACTACACAATTATGTCTGAATGGTGAAGTATCTTCACTCAGGGCCACCAGCCTAATGTATCTTATTAGTACTGACCTGGGGGAGGCAAATGCCTCCCTGTCCCACAGCCAAGTCCTACCCTGGGAAGGATGTTTAACAATTTCTGCAGTGCTGAGCTATGCTTTATTTAAATGGGATCTTTATCTGAGGGCTGTACAAAGAGATGCACTTAGGTCTCTGAAAAAGCAGAGCAATGAGGCCTAACTAATGCCACACACTCTATTTTAAAAAATCTTTCACCACTTCATGAAATCCTATTTATACACTTCTATGTTTATTCTAAAGAAAAACTCTGATGTTCCAAAGTTACCTTGGCTATCAGAGCAGTTTTAGCATCTTATTATTCATGTATTTGGCAAATAGTTATTTCACAACTGTAAAATATAACCTCGTTGACAAATTGTAAGCTATTCTATGGCACTAGCTTTGTGATGGAAAGCATAGCTGTAGGTGAGTGTAAAACACATCTAGATGTAATAACTACTAAATAGAGAAAAAAATTATACTCTGATATCGTAATATAAAATATTAGAGGTCACCTTGGATTTCTATGACCTGTATAAAACCACTCCGCCTGCAGCTTTGCATTTCATACGTTCATGTGATTCCCATGTGATCTCTAACATTATAACATCTATTTTAAACAAGCTATGAGAGGGTACTGGATGCCCAATTATTTATTTACACGTTGCTCGTTCACCCTGCTCTACAGAGTAATGCCATTGCGGTTCTACTTCACAATATTTACGTATGTAAATTGTATAGACATTATCATGCCGGTTTATATCCATGCACACCCTAGTTCACAGTCATTTAGATTCTTAATGACAGCCGTTCTGTGCCATTCCAAGCATCGAGCTTAGTTAACTAAGGCACTCAGTAACTAATACCACTCTGGAGGACAATTTAGTCAGCAGGGCATCGGTTCATTCTTCTTTTAAAAGTACAATCAAATATATGATGTCTGCTCATGAAATGAGACAGACCTAACTAGGCCGTATGCAGACCAAGGCACCTTCAAGCAGAAGCAAATTAGTACAGAAGACGGTATGACAAAGTGAAGTATATTGTGACAAAATCAAAGTAGCAATATAGTGAAAACGACATTTGTAATATATGCCTTATAAGTAACTGATAATCCAAGGTTGTAGGTTAGGCACAGACTGGAAATGAGTGCGCAGTCTATATTAAACAAAACAACCATTTATAATTTGGCTTTGGTATTTTAAAATGCAAAAAAAATAAAATAACCATGGATGACACTTAACTTACCTCCCACTATCATAAATCAAATGGTCAATTAACCCAAAAAAGGCACTTTCGTTT